AAACCTGACAGCCTGTGCTAGAAATCTTATAATGGGCCATGTGTGGATCTTCCAACAGGACAGTGATCCAAAAACAAACATCAAAATCAAAACAAAAATGGGTGACTGAGCACAAAACCAAGCATCTGCAATGGCCATCCCAGTCCCAGATCTGAATCTGAACCCTATAGAAGATGAGTGGGCTGAACTGAAGCAGCGCCAACATGGATCTGGGAATCTGCAGGATCTGGAGAGATTCTGTATGGAGGAATGGTCTCTGGTCTCCTGTCAGGAGTTTTCCAAACTCATCAGGCATTATAGGAGAAGACTCAGAGCTGTTATCTTGGAAAAATGAGGTTGCAAGAAGTATTTAATAAAAAGGGGGAAATAATTGTTCCCAACGTATTTTGGAGACAAACATTTATTTCATAATGTGATTTCCCCCCCCACTTTCAATTCTTTTACTTCAATGAAAGGTTAGATTTTTGCTAATTTTTGTAATAAAATATTAAAAGGATTAACAATGCAGATTTATTTTTTTACAGCCATCTTTGATCATATTTACCAAGGGGGCAAATAATTCTGACCAACACTGTATACCTTATTTCAAAATATGTCATTCATGGAATACGTTTCAGATGCATCACCGTGATTGTGATATTTCAGCACAATCTATTAAATATAAGCAAAATAAATTGATGAAATGCTTTAAACAATGTCTGATTTAATATTCTACTGACACTACCCACCCACCCAAAATTATATATTTTTTTAAATCAGATGACAGCGGATATAAACTACAGGTCAAACCTTTTGTTTTTTTGAAAAGCCTCTTAAAGTCTCACCATTGTAAATCAAAAATACAGCAAAAAACAATAACATTTTAATTTTTAAAATGTAATGTATTGCTGCTGTGATGCAAAGCTGAATTTTCAGCATCATTACTCCAGTCTTCAGTGTCACATGATCCTTCAGAAATTATTCTAATATGCGGATTTGCTGCTCAAGAATAATTTCTTATTATCAATGTTGAAAACAGTTTAATCACGAATACTTCATGAGATCACATTGGACAGACTCCCTGATCAGTGCAATTACTAGAGAGCTGAATAAAATGCTAATTGATATATTAATTTCTTAGCTTAGCAGCACACCAAATGCCACATAAATCTATTTCGAGTTGAGTCTCCCATGTGGAGCAATATTTATATGGCGCACAGAGTTATAGACCACTCCAAATCACTCACTTATGAGGTTCCATTTCACTTTAGAAAGAGTTGCCCTTTCTAGGTAGCTCACTTTGGAACAGCTTTTATAGTTTTATGTGAAGTAGACACACAAACACACACTCTTCAAATAAACCAGAGAGGAGGGGAAAAAAAACACGACACTAATATGCAAAGGTAAACTAAGATCTTTTTTATTTCTTGAATTTTTTTTTTTTTTAAGTATAGATCTATTTTTTTTGTTCCTTTTTTCTACATACAAGTCCTTTTTTTTTTTTTTTTTTTTTTTTTTTTTAAGTATGTCGTCATGCTGGGTGCAGCTTCGGTGAAGTAGCTCATGCAGGTGACCCATGTGGATATTACGAAGGACAGGCAAAAGACGGGGTGGACCGAGATCGAGCTGGACCACCGCCGGACTCCACTGTACAGTCACCAAATCACAAGACGTTTAGAAACGGGCTGGCCAGGACCAGGGGGACGAAAGTCAGGACTCTTTGCTAAGACACGGCTCAGATTCCCAAAAGAACACAATGAAGGAAAACAAATTTTTTAATCGTGACATCCGCTGGCGTCTCACGCCATCAAAACCATCCGTAATAGAAGACGACAGGTAAAAAGGTGAAGACAAAATTAGGATGATGCAAAAGAAAGAAAATATATATATACGTATATATATATTGTTTTTGTGAAAAAAAAAAAAAAAATCCAGAAGTCTCCCGCCCTTGAAAAGTGTCACCAGCAGAAAAAGCTACTTTTTGCTGAGCCACATTTATGTAGAACCGACTGTGCTCATTAATTTCAGGCCGTAATCGTTTCCATTAGAGCAAAAGGGAGTCAAAGTCTACAGTCATTAATCATTACAGTACTGCAGATCCCCACACGCTCATATGGGCCCGTCACAAATACATTACGGCCTCTGCAAGGACACGGCAGCCCTGGCATTTTGAGTAAAGACCTTAAAAAGAAATTGCATGTTGCTTTTTGAGTGAAAAATGAAAATTAGTAATACATATGCAAGGAGTCTACTGTAACAGCATTGAAGAGGGTCACAATATATTTACAGCAGTGCACCAGAACGCTGAGGATGACGAGCACGTCCCAAAGCCAGTCCCGACTGATCCAACGCAAATGCACACAATTAAAGACAAAACAAAAAAATACATTAGTGAATATGAAAGAACAAAACTCAACCAAGGCTGAACTGTAAAATGCTGAACAATCTTTGCACCAATAACTTTCTCGTCTTTTAAAAAATAGTCTCAGCTTTTTTTTAAATGCTTCAAAAGAAAAGTAAATTGACATCTTTGGTGAAGATTCCACAGCAATTCTCTCAGTCTTGTTGCTAGAACGCCAACTGGGCTCAGCAGCAGGTGCACAAACAAACACACTCGAACCAATGGACGGACAAACACGCATACTGCTGGTTTCTTTAAAAGGTTTAAAATCAACAACCATCCTGCTGGAGAAACCTGACGCCATCGAGCGGGAAATGGAATGATAGCACTGGCAGAATGAAGCAGGTCTGATTTCATGGAAGTATTATGAAAGAACCGGCTCTGCGACCCATCAAAGGAAAAGTTCACCGACAGAAAAAACCTGTATGTGGTTCTCTTTTCATCGGGATACAATATGTGAGCTTTTAAAGAATCTTAATGCAGCGTTTCATGGTGGCCATGATATAAATCTTCCAGGAAAGGGACCATTAAACCACCTTAAAAGTAGTCGATATTCAATATTTATGACTTTACTAATGGAAAATCTTTCCTTTTTACAGCAAAGTTTGGGGTCAGTAAGATTTTTTTAAATAAAACAAATACTTTTATTCATCAATGATGCATTAAACTGATCAAAAGATACAGTAAAGATATTTATAGTATTACAAAATACTTCCATTTCGAAAATAAATGCTTTCTATTCATCAAATAATCCTGGTTTTCACTAAAATATTAAATCAGCATAAATGTTTTAAACATTGATGATGATGATACTAATAATAGTAATAGTGATAAATGTTTTACCGAACCAGAATGTTAGAATATTCAAATGCTTTCTGAAGGATCATGTGACACTGAAGACTGGAGTAAAGATGCTGAAAATTCAGCTTTGACATCACAAGAATAAATTACTTTTTTATTTTAATATATTCTAAATGTGTAATTTAATAATGTAAAAAACATTTCACAATTTGTACTGTATTTTTGATCAAATAAAAACCGTCTTGGTGAGCATAAGAGACTTTTTTCGTTTGAAGGTGGTAAGAATTTTAAGTGTACAAAACTGGAAATTGATTTCATTTATTGAATAATTCCTTACATTTCAGTCTATTCCTCACACAAATGATTCCTGAGATCTGAAATATAATGCTCGAGTTATATGTTATGCTGGTTTTATGTCGATGTTTAGTCCTTTTTGAGCTTGACTGTCATTGAACTGCTGTTGTACTCAAAAGAGCTGCATAAAGATCCTTTAAAAATCTCCTTTTGTGTTCCAAGGAAAAAACTACAGCATACAGGTTTTAGGGTGAGTAACTCATTTCTGGGTCAGCTACGCAGCCTTGTGTCTTTCATTTTGTGTGTCAAATCATATGTCTGAAATGTTATAAATCCCACCAGGAGTTTATATTATACAGCAACACTCCTGGAATCTGAAAACCACCAAAGCTCAACTTTAAAAAAAAGAATGATCGGTACAGAAAATAGTTCTGCTTCCTAGCTCTCTATAACCTTACCAGTCAAACATGCTGCACTGGATAAGCCATAAATCAAAGAGCGCCTGAGCTCCTGAGCTCCTGGCTCAGACCTTCCTACAGCAGAAGTCTGCGGAGGGAAAACCTCTTCCTCGAGGACACGGCTGAACTCAGCCTTACAGAAACCGTCTCGGAGGATTCAGGTCTGTGCAGGAAAAGAAAAGATCCTCGAACTAGATGCAAGGATAAAGTGAAAGTCAGAGTCGCCCCTGCAAACCCTCGCTTCCGCATGCAGAGATGACTTATGTCAATAATAAACGTGCATCGTTTTTCAGACCATTCTGCCATCGTGAAAAACTCCCACAATGCCCTGCTCTCGAAATCTGCAGTGACTTAAAGCAGCATGAACGTTGAAGGACGAGTTCAACCAGAAACAAACTGATTATTAACTCACCTACATGTCGTTTCGAATGGTGTTCGTCATGCAAAGCTATTATTTGACTTCAGAAGATTTGGAATAAAAGTCATATGGGGTGCTTTTATGGAGCTTGGAACGACATGTGGGGGAACTTTCATATTTGGATGAACTGTTCCTTTAACATGAGCGTAACTCGTGACTCCATGCCGCTTTAAGTCAATACAGTGTAGAAACGTAAAAAGAAAAGAAGGGCTTCTAAAATGGTCCATTACAGGCCACTAATGTATTTAGCCCAGATAAAGAGCTTTCTTTGAGCGAGGCTGCCCGGAGCCTTGCGTAATTCGCACATGCATTTAAGACCTCTGAGAAATTTAAATAGCCACGACACATTGTTTAATAAGATCAATGCACTTTGGTTGCATCTATAAGAATACTCAATTATCCAATTCAATTTACTGTTTGAGAATACAGTTTTCGCTTCCAAGCTCTAAAGGAACCGTATGCAAAAAATTCAAGTTTCCCTCCGAGGTCAAATTAAAATCTGAAATCTACTCCGACTAGAAAGACTGTGTACGCTAATTCTACACTAAAGTCCTGACAAAAGTGTGTCTATCTAAAGGGACCATGCTTTATAGTAATGATCTATGTGAATTTCTTCCCCTTTAAAAATCCGGAGGGAACGGAATAAAAAATATAAATATGCTTATGTTTTGCATATCAAGGAGAATCATGCTCGAAAGGTGAGCCAGCATTTGGGTAGGCTGGACCAGGAAACCTTCAGACCCGTGCGCACAGCTGTGTGGTCGACCTGAAGCCACGTAACGTACACGTTTACGGCGTCGAGGTTTTGTCAGAAGAACAACCCTCTCTCATGAAAATAGTTTGAAAAACTAAAAATAACTTTTTTTCCAGTTACAAATGACATTACATCCTGTTATCTGCGGAAGGCTAGTGCCGCTAACTTCGAAACAAACATACGTTAAATGACAACCTGCTTCTACATTACAAATTATAAAGGCAAAGTCATGATTCACACAAAGAGAGCAAAATGACAGACACTAAAGGGCTCTTAGTTTGTCTGAGAACAAACAGCAACACACGCACACATACACACACACACACACCCGCACATCAAGTGAAGTATTAACAGCTGGTTGTTGTCATGTCCTGGTCTTATGTCCCCTGTTCAAGAGTTCAGTGAGAACTGGTCCTGTTCTATGGGCTTTTTCACCCAGGCACCCAGGCCCGCTTTGTGAAAGGCCTTGATGAGCGTTTGCTTCGCTGTGTGATACTCCTCCGCTGCTTGTTTGGCTTCGTGGTACGAGCTGGGCTTGGGCACTTTGATTCGCAGAGTTGACGAGAGCTGCCGAGAGAGAGAAAGAATTACAGTACATAATGTGGTTTGTTTGTTTACACTATTTTGTAATATAATACAATAATCATTAGGCAGTTCTATTTTCTACTTAAAATAAAAAATGAAAATAAATAAATAAATGAATTAAAATAAATAAAAATTAACTAATAAATGGAACAAAATGTCTGAAAAGAATACTGCTCTCTCTATATATATATATATATATATATATATATATATATATATATATATATATATATATATATACATTAGGGCTGTCAAAATTAACGCATTAAAGCAACACCAAGTAACTTTCCCTCTGCGGTCGCCCTACAGGTTGGAAGCGGAATTGTCCATTACCGCTGTTGTAAATAACTTAGCCTACCGCAGCCTACGGTCGCACGCTCGCTCGTTGTTCATCCAGCACCGGCTTTGGAATGAACGATGTCCACTCCACAGACAAGGTAGAGTATGTTGCATGATTTCATGAAAGTATGATGTCTTGCGACATCAGAAATGAAGAAAAACTAAATAATGACTATTGTAACGCTTGACGTAAAGCAAGTCAAATTTGTAGTTTTCTTATGTCTCATTAGAACTACAGAAATGCGACCCGATCTGGCAATCTTACATAGCGTGGTTATAGCAGATATAGGACCGCAAAGCGGAGGCATAAGTGCCTTTCACCCTGTTACGACTTGATGAACCACTGAAACGATTTTGGAAACATTATTTTAAGGTAAAAAATCTTACTTAGTGTTTGTTGCTTTAACGCAATGCGATAATTTTTTTCACGTTAAAGCGTTACAAATATTGTTAATCTCCTGTCTGTGTGACAGACACACAAGACTCATACGCACAGAAAGCCGCTTCAGACAGCGTGCCGCATTGAGTTCTCTTACGCGTATGAACGGACAAAAACACACAAAAGTGCCAAAATGCCCGCTTTGACCAGTATCCTCTTAAATGAGTTAAATAAAGCCTTAAATGACCTCAAAGAGTTGTGAGATAACTTTATTCAATTTCTGCTTATATCCTACTTGTTAGATAAAATATACTATATTTTTGTTGTTTCTACATTAAAATGTGGAAAAAAATGTGGCATAAATGTGAAATTATTAGAAATATAAAAACTTTAGAATAGTGAACAACAATCACACCTAAAATTAGTTACACACACATTAATATATATACACTGTATAATCTATATACTATACTGTATATTACGTATAACTATAACTATATGTAATTACACAACTACAATAGTGAACAAGGTGAAAAACGCAAAGGAAACGCTTAACCGTTTTTAGTACATGGTTGTCGTGTATATTATATTTTTCATTCCTGTTCTGTATAGCATTAAATATAAAGGATTTGTTGTGGAAAGAGGTAACTAAATCCTGTTTTTAACATGCTTCAAATGTATATTTGCATGCTTCGTTTCGAAATTTGTGATAGTCTTACCTTAGTGTGTAGTGGCACCCAGCGGCTGTATATGGCGTGCTTACAGAGACGTGAGGGTCTGCCCATGTCATCCTTGCCTGTGGTGGCGTTAATGACTTCTAGAGCCTGATCTCCCACCGTCCAGTTCACACTGAAGTTGGGGGCCTTTCCTGGCTGCCGGGCCTCAGCGTTACTGATTCCTGCAAACACACAAATACACTCATCATAGTAGAAAACTAAACCCAGAGATGGTGTTTGGTGCAAACATACAGTGCGGCCCTTTTTATGCAGACGACTTGATATAACTAAAATATTTCCTGAACAAAAGCTGAAAGAAATTTATTTCAAGGCTTGTTTTTTTAATAAAAAAAACCCCCAGATAAAACAATGTGTCCAAGGTTGTTTAAATTGTTTATGTTACGTTCCTGTATTGCGTGTGTGTGTTCTCTTGTGTTTCTCTTCCCGCTCTCTCTCGGTGACTTTCGCTTTTGCAGGTACCCGTGATTGGCTAAGTGACCTGTCAATCATTGTTAGCGCTGACGTCACCTCTTCTCGCTGTCGCCAATGGGAACAGGCCACCTGGGGAATAAGAGTGCACGCCAGACGTTTCCACAGAAGCTCTCGGCTCGCTGAGACTCAGACCACGCAGCTTTCTGTCATGACTTTGTATACCCTGTTAAGGCTGTGGTTCTCGTTCACTCTGTGTGATGCTGAGTTTATGTATGAGTGAACTCTTCCTGTGTTTAATTCTCTGATTGTATGTAACTTGCTCTACAGCAGACCGCTGAAGGTTACTAGTGCGGAGAGAGAGATAGACAGGTAGCATGTCACGTGACATACACTGCAACACGCAGGGGTTTTCGCTTTTGTCTAAACACATTAGGTTAGGGGCGAGTGCCACTCCCTGTATTTCTGTTTTCTGTTAGTTAGTGGAGATTAGGTAGGGTGTCTTGGACGCTGAAGATTTTTGTTTTCTTCTTTATTTTCTAAGTTAGGAGTAGAGGTTATTTAACAGCTAGACTTCGTTTGGTTTTGTTATTTTCTTTTCTTTGGCGCCGTCCACGTCTATCTTTTTCTCTTTTCATTAACTTAATCCATCTTACAGAAATTCTGTATCTCATGTCTATTTATATATATATATTAATCTATATTCGTATAGATTAATTCACTTCACTTTTGCCATTTACCTTGTTTACTGAATAAAGGTTTTGGCTTTTTGCACAGTAAGCTTGATTGTTGGGTCTTTTGTACAAACCATGGCTTATATATGTTCCTCTATAATGGCACATTTAAAATGTTGGACTCCCGAACCCCTAGACTAATTCGGGGGTCGTAACAGTTTATTTTGAATAAACAGATTCAAACAATTGTACTTACGAGTGTATATCTCCAATAAGATCCTAAACAACAGACTAATGACTTATGCTATTTTACACGTCTTGCACAAGAACTCAAAAAAGCAACACCAAGCCAACGGAAAATGTTAGAGAACAGACTAAACCGGAAACAAAGAAGAAACTACATTACCTGAATATTTACTTGAAGCAATGGTAATTAATTGAAAAATTCTTGAAGGCTGTATGCCATTATTTTAATATTTTATTCTTTAAATATTTATATTCTTATTAAGGTTAAATTAATACTAAAATACATTAAGTTACTGTATATAATTTGTAATTTTATAAAAAATATTTCCATTAAGCATACAATAAATGGCTCATTTCATTACGCATTACCTCTTTACTGGCAGACCAAGACAACAGGAACAAAAAGAGTTGTTAAATGCAGAAGGGTCGTTCTTTGAGCTAGTGTTATGAAGCATAGGTCGAGGATGTTATGCTTCAACCTCCCCCAACACATCATCAAATGGAGATGTTCAGCAGTATGGCTTACTTCTGAAAGTTCTGCTAGGAATCTGATGTAACCTACTGCAAAAGCAGTGTTGGGTGTTTCTCATGAGGAACAAAACAAATTGAGAAAGGATATGTTCTCTCCAAGAGCAGCCAACATCTCCCTGATGACACTTTGAAACTCAAGCAAATATTTAATGAGGAAACCTTAGTGTCTATCTAAACCCAGTGCGTAGAAACTAGCTAAAAGTTGCGATGCTACTAACTTACTAACTAGGTTTTTCAGAAGCATAAAAACAGTTCACCAATTTTTATCAAAAATATCTCAAGGATTGGTATCAGGGCCGATTAGGCATCTCCTGTCACGCAAGTGTATTACAGTAGGCGGTGGTATGCACCTTCAAGTGGGTTTGCTAACCGCCATTAAAAGGAAAACAAGCTCAATTGTGTGTGAGTGACGCGTGATAACCAGTGAGGTCTGTTCTAGCAAGTCACATGCATACATTTTATATCAGTAGTCCCATATTCATAATTGTGACGACAGTATATGTATATATATATACAGGGTGCGATTTGCGGGGGGGGGGGATGCATGGGATTTCCCCCTTTCTGGTCAAAGTATCCCTGCCTCTGCTTAATTATTTTTATCCCCAGTGGGGATAAATTTATCCCACCCTCAAAGTGATCAGTGCTACTACACTAGTGGCGAGACGGATCACAAAACTTATCACGGGTCCGTGGTTTGATTAAAGTCAATTTTATTTTAAAATGCGCTCCTTCGGCTGGCTCTGGTATAGCGGCCGCAGCCTCTCTGTAATCACCTCTCTGCAGACTTGCTCAATGTCCCGCCCACGGCGCTATCTGATTGGTTACTTCTCACGAGTAATAGCCAATCAACACTTGCGAGACTGAGGTTTTTAGCGCGGCGCGGTAGACGCGAATTGACACAGATAATGCATCTGTCTTTTCTATCATTTCACTGTAGCTCAGCATCGCGATGTAACGTTAACGTTGTTACTTTAACAGCAGTACAACTGTTTCTACTGTGATGGTTTAACTTTGCAATCAACCCATGGTTCAGCAGACTGATAGAAGTAGGCTAGCCTAAACTAAGTAAAGCGATGTAATAATGTGAACTGTCAGTGCGATAGAACAATAAAATCCGAAATGGACCACCCACTGGAAAGCTGCGGATTTTCCCACAGGAAAGCAGAAAAAGACTGTTTTCCTAGTATGATGCAAAGGCCTACACTATAGCCTATTTATGTTTAAGTTGACACTACGTTGTGCCATTTAATTTTGCAATTCATAAATAAGTGTTTTGACATGTCAAGCCGAGTGGCACTATCCATGGTAGCTACTGGGAGGGGGATTTAATTATTGCGTGTTTTTTCGTTGTGCGTGATCACAGTTCATATAGCCTAAGCTATTAGAGTAAAAATATTGCGTTAGGCTATGAGTTAATAAGAAAAAAGATTTTACAATTCCTGCAAATGCAGTGATGAAGTTCATGTTCTCGTGATTTATTTTTATGAATAAAACTTTTTCAAAACATCCCCCCTCTGTTTTTTTCACAAATCGCACCCTGTATATATATATATATATATATATATATATACACACACACACAGCATATATATACTGTGTGTAAAATACAAGTATCGAATCGGGACTCGGTATCGGCAGTTTCTAAATATTCAATGACTCAAATCAAGGGCACCAAAAGCATGGTTTTGTACCATGTATAAAATTATGACTGGTTAAATTCACAATTATTACTGCCTCTATACATAGCTTCAAAATAGTTAGCTTCTAGTAGGTAGTTTTTCTAACCACTTAAAAAGCAGCTTGACTATAGCTGAACCACTTAAAATTTTGACAGTTTTGCCCAGCCAGCAGGGGCATCTGCGATTTCAGGCATGATGTGAATGACTGAAACAGGTCGTCGGTGTGTGATGGCGAGATGGAGAGAAGGCCCATCTAAATTCCAGTAATTCATCAAACCACAGGAAATTGAAGGCGAGTTGGGGGAAACTGTCCATCTAGTAAATGGTAATACAATTTGACATCGGTGCCATTTTCAATGATTTGGGAGCGTAAATGGGAGCCGGCCGTATGATGTTGTCTTACCGCTGAGGAGGGGGCGGTTGAGGGAGAATTGCTGGGGCAGGTCTTCGATGTCAGCGATCCGCTGGTACATGGCTCTGGACAGATGATCAGCGTGATACAGGCTGCCCAGGATGATGCTGGAGAAGTAGATGGGCTCAGTGAAGTAGCTCATCAGAGAGCCCTGGATGCCCACCACGTTCCACCTACAGGAACAAACAAGACACAGATATAATTATTTTATATGCACTTTTCTCTCTGATGTACGCAACCCCCATCAAAACAAACCTGGGGTCCATTTTTATTATAAATAAATACATTTAATTTTTTTTTATTTAGCATTTTTCATAGTTTCCCCTCCCGCTGTACTCAACACTATCAGAACAGACCTGCAGTTGATTTTTTTATTATAGTCAATTAGAATTATTGTCACATTTAATTAGAATATAATTATTTTACAATATTATAATTGACATTTTTCATTAATCCCCCCCCCCCCCCCCCCGCTGTTCGCAACCCAATCAGAACAGACGTGTGGTGGATTTTTATCATAATTAATTACAATTATTGAATTTATTTATAATTATTTTATTATTAACATTTTGCATTGTTTTCCCCTGCTGCTCGCCATCAGAGCAGACTCGCCGCCCAATTGTAATATATTTAATAATATGATTAATTATAATTATTACATTTAATTATGATGAAATACCTTTATATTTGGTATAGAATACTTTCTATTATTGGCATTTTCAATATTTTTTTTCCTCTGCTGTATGCAACCCCATCAGAACTGTCCACCAGTTGACAACCACTGCATTTTACCGTTACTGCATTGACGCGGCTTTAAAAGTTAAAATACTTTATTTTTTATTTGAAGTTTGTTACTAGCCTGGAGTACTTCCAGCACTTTTACATAATGGATTTCTAATCTCACCATCTAAAACACTACAAATTACCATGTAGATGGAGCATAGACAATCAGGAACTACAAGAATCACAAAACATGAAAACAACAGAGCAAAAAAAGCAATCTGGCCAGCAGCCCAGATGTGAATGATTTTCACCAGCACCAGAAAAAAATATAAAAACAGCACCAGTGGACGAATTGTTCAATTAGAGCTGTTCTTACAAACCACCTCATTTACATCTTTTCTTTACAGGTCCCAGACTCACCCACTGGGTCACCCTCCTCAGCCATTCACAATCAAAAGGCCTAATCAAACCCAGATCTGCTCCCCAAAACACCTGCTGTATGCAGCTGAAAAGATCAAGTGATTAGAGCTTTTCTTTTCAGCCTGACCAATCAATGCCAGAAAGACACAGACAGTTCAACTTTAGCAATTGCTACTATTAACTACTTAAACCAATCACTGAACACACTGCAGCGTATTCAGAGTTCCTGCTGGCGGATATCTAATCTACCTGCTAAACTAGATTTCTTTTTAAAGATTCGATGACACATCCTGGAAAACTTTTGACAAATCCAGACTATAATGTAAAAAGTGAATGTTTCAATTATTTGATGAAATGTGTTAGAAGTCTTTAACTCTAAATTTAAATCAAAGTCAAATGTAAAAAAAGAACAAAAACAATATTTCAGGAGTTGTTTTGCATTTAATTCTGTTCTAAAAAAATAAAACGGGTGATCAGGAAGAGGGTTTATGCACGATAGACTTAAGCTAAAGATATGGCATCAACAAAAAGACATTCTGCTTGTTTTGGAGCTACTGTTATTCTTATTTCAGACATGGCTGGATCAGCACCTTCCATTAAACATTCACAGGAACACCCTTCCCCCGCAGTGTGTCCCGGTTTGAGACTCACACCTGGTCATGTGTCTAGCAGAGCAGGTACAGGCCCTGACGGAGGAGACACAGCGTTCTATCAACACCACACGCTCATTCATCTCAGCAGATGGGCTGCTTTTCCTTGAGTGTGAGCTGTGAACATCAGTTCTGCTGTGTGTGAGTGTGTCAGACCGTCCCTGAGCAACACATAAACTAGCCCAGCCCTCACTAAATACCGCTTTCCTCTAAAAACCAAAGCAATAAACTGAATCAGCAAATACAGTATCAAACAGATACTGAAAACATGAAAGATTTATTGTCTCTCTATTATTCAATACTTCAACTGATGCATTTGTATATAGACATTAATACAAGCATGTGTTAAGGTTAACCCAGGGCCATCAACATTGCAGTTAAATGTTTTTTTTTCATTAAAAAGCTCTATAAACACAATCTTCAGTGAATAACATATTTTGTTATTATCTCCTTTAGTATTACAAATGAAAAAAATATAGGACTATAAAGTGATTACATTTTTTAATCTAATTAATTACATAAGCTGATTAATCAATCGAATTAATCGCAAATCAATCCCCCAAATAGATCATTTAAAGTCATTATTGTGTTAGATGAGAAAAGCATTGATTAGACATTACAAAAGGTAGCTTTAGAAAAGTATTTTGATCCAACATACTGTAGAATTTATTACACAAACATTTAAGGCTTCAATGTGGCCATAACATTTTTTTTCCCAGAAGCTGAACTGGTATTTAAGTATATTTCCACAGAATGTTTAATGCAGCTCAGAGGTGGCATGAATATGAATAACAATAATTAAATGATACTCTAAATATGAAAGTAAAACATCCAGTAGGTGATGGCAAGTTAGGTCGTATTTACACTGCAGGTCTTGATGCCAAATTCCGATTTGTTGACTATTTCTGATTTTTTTTTGACGACCATCTTACATATTTTAAAAGTGACCCATATCTGATATCTGTATTTACACTATACTTTTGGAGTTTCAACCCAAGGTAGACGTACTGACCCGGAAAAGCTTAGGTTGAAAAGGATGTTCCACATATGAATGAGGATATTGGAATCCATGTGAATTTTTCCATTACATTTACATTACTTGAACCATGTAATGTATATGCGTCCTTACTGTCTTAATGACCGAGTCATTCAGTCATACATTCAACCAATTCAATCTAACGGCTGAAAGTGTCATTGAACCAACTGCTCACCCAATTTGAATAATGATAATGAACCCAATTGTGAAACACTGCTGTGTTGCTCAGAGACGCTCAACAGTTCTGCTGTGGCTTTGTCTGGAACTATTTTCATTGACGAAATTGAGCAACAACAGACAATATTGTGTGATATTGCTAAACCATGTGATATAAATAGACAAAAAACACAAAACTTGAAATTTAGTGGCATTTTAAATGCATTCTAATAGGCTTCATCACAGTAAGTTGTTGCCCTGCATCATGTTCATAACTAAAGTGCATGTAATGTAAGATGATGTACAGGTCTGGGCCGGGCGTTGTGCGGTAATAATTTTAACACATTATTTTCCCCCATAATTAATCGTACCAAATTAATATGTTAAATTGACAGCCCTAAAAAAAAAAAAAAAAAAAAAAAAATCATTAAAAAAAAAATTTATATACCAGTATATATTTATTTTGCAAAGCAGCTTTGCTGTTTTTTTAATTTAAGGCGAGACACTACAGGTGAATAGGGTAATTTTTTTTAACTAGCAGATATCACCATGCAACTTTCCCAGTTGATTACCTACATTAAGATGAGAAAAAAAATGTCTTACAAGTTTTCTGTAATTTAATGTTTAAATATGCAAATTAGGCATTATCTAATTAAATATGCGCTAATTTGCATATATAAAAAAAAAAATGAAATCTGAGTATTGGATAAAGCCAGGTTCAAAATTATTTTTTCATTGTGTTCACATATTAGATGGGAAAAAAATTACAGAGGGATTTATGGATATCTACTTTTGTTATCCTATAAATCAGAATATACTGTCAATAGCCTTAAAAAAATGATTTTTGCCATGTTTTTTGGAATAAAATGTTATATAAATCGGGCCAGGAATAATATATTTACAAATCCCTCTGTATATGTCTTCATAATATAACTAGGTACAAGACTGGAAAGTTTGGTGTATATAGGTGCTACCGAAGTGGAGATTTCGGACTTTGAGTTTGAGAGAAAAGTCATTTTGAGAAAACGGGCTTTAAAGATTTAGCATCAGCCAATGAGATTGCGCATTTGCGCCCTTTTACTTTCACGATTGGTTGCTGATAAAAAGGAAATGACCATATTTGGATCCGACAACATTGTACAAGAGAGAGAGAGCTTTCTAACGGTGTGTGTGATGACAGGGTGCAGATCGCGATCGCGGAGCAACGGATGATTTACAACGCCAACTTTTGATGAATTTATGAGAAATCTACAGACACAAACAGACAAAGTGTAGTAAAATAAAGACCTAAATGTGTATTTCGGACTTTTTTTCACCACAAGTCTGAAAGAAGACATGTTTTTGAAGACAAATATCCCGAAATCTCAAAATTGACCAGTGAAAAAAAAAACTGTTTTTGCTTGCCGTGTCTCACCTTAAAGCAAAACAAAAAAACAATAAGTTTTGTAGTTTCAATGGGGGTCTAAAAAAATAAAATAGTTTAAGTACAATTAAAAAAAGTAGACTGTAGACTGCAGGATGAGGTTGATATAAACGTACTGCAGTGTGACAGTTGAAGTGTGTGTGCTGAGGTGGAGATGCACACTGAGTATTCTCTCATTAGCAGAGACAGGACCTGTGCTCTCTGGTCACAGCTGTCTCTGACATGTTCTTATCTCTTCACTCACAGCTGCTGGGCGGCAGGGACAGACACATCGCCACATTGACCCCACAGGGTAAATGAATGCTCCCTCCTACTCTGATAATACTGTCTTCTTTATTTAACTAGGGTTATAGTAATGTTGAACCCATGCACCTCTTTCCCTGTCAATTATGAAGTCCGGTAATAGCCAACGAGCAATTAAATTCACAAAGCCCTTGTTCTCTTCCCAACGGTGACAGGTACAGCGTCTACCCAGTGCAGTGAGATTAACCAGAAGGTTCCAGACTACCGCTTTTGCTGAGCTGTCTATTATTCTAATGAAGAGGGCTGACAATACCATCACTCCAAAACTTAGTGAGCTGCTTAACTAGGCAGCAACTTCTAACAGAGATATAATAGAAGCAAAGGTAGGCAGGAATTTATGCTCATTGTGGCCAAATTTTTATGCAAGACAAGGACACCCCAGAATGCATTGTGATGAGCTCAGTGAAGAGAGTTGGAATATTTTCTTTTGTAAAATAGCAAAAGAAAGAAAAAAAGTATTGTATATGGATTATTACCGTAATCCATGTAACATACCGGGATCTAATTTTATTCTAGGCTCAAAACAAGGCGGAGGTGGTTAAACCGCGATCATTTATGTACTGATCGTATTTTAATAGTAAGATAGTTCGATTTTTAATTTTGGAAGGCTATCATATATTGTCTTTCCCACAAATATTTGTGTTGGTAGACCGTGGTACCTCTAAGGGGGTCCGGGTGCATGTCCCCCTCCCCCCGGGAAGAAAATTTTGTACATTTTAAAGATAAATTCATTAATCTAGAGCACTTTGAGAGTTCAAAATTAAGAACTCCAACCCATGTTCAGTGTGCAAATTGAACAAAGGAAGTCTGTGCATTGACTTGTACCTGAACTTTAATGGGGGCTCTAGGGCTCATGCGCTAGAGATGTGCAGATCAGCTCTAACTTCACCTGAATACACTGTTAAAAATTAATCCACACGCCAACCGCTCAAACATGATATTCTCTGATTTAGATATCTGCACCTGATCATCATATTACAATTATTCAAATTCTCAGTGTTAAGCATGATGATAAGGTAACATATCACACTGAAGTAGGCTGCTTTAAAATTAAAATGCATTTAAAATAAAGGTTATTTTGGCAAAATTACATATCCTTAATAGCCTAAACAGAGGTTTTACTCCATTCAAACTTAAATTGTCACTGTTTCATTACATCACTGTTGGAAAACACTCTCATCAGAATGTGTTTTTTTTTACCTTTATAAAGGGCATTTCCCCCCTAATTTTATTAAATGTATGCTTCATCTTTCATTTCAAATTCTTAAATCTGAAATTTAATTAGAATAATAAGGCACTATATGGCTGTAACCAATCAAATTAAATCATTTACACTGAAAAATTAAACCGTATTAAATGAGATTGTTTGGAAAATAATCATATACAAATATGAAATTTTGAAAAGAATGATACGTCAATTACATATATATATATTTTTTTGACTAATTAGCTATAATGTAAGAACTAACAGCTAAAAACATCATTAATACTCGATGACACTAAGTGCAAAACATTACTAGACATCCTTAAAACTGAGACGCTGGGATTAGTGTTGTTGCTGAGCATCAGTTAGTATGTATATGTAGGCAGCAGACAGCAAGTCAGCTCACTGGGTTTTACAACAGGGCTCATATGCACATGTGTGTTTACATGCTACCAACTACCTTGCGATTTTGTCACTGCATGACATCGTAAGCAGCCGCTCCCCCTGCAGAACTCCGTCCCATGTCTGTATGGTGTTACTCGTGCGCACCGGGATGGTTCCCTCTCCAGACTCGATCTTGGTTCTCAGTTGGCCCCTTGCCTTCCTGTTGGGGTGTCTGTCTCCCTGGTCTGAGGAGAACAGAGTTAAGCAAACATTTTAGAAGAAAGAGGGGCACTTCCATGCAATGTTTCTGAAAATGTTAATCTACTTCAACTAATCAACTAATTTAATCAACCAATAACAATAAGTTAAAGAAGAGTAATTGTTTGTTTTGCTTCAGCTGAATAATTGTATGGTCTATAAAGCAACACTCAAGAGCAGAATTAATCAGTTCACAAGAGTCGTTGACAAAGCCAGCTAATTAAAAACACTGATGAAATTTGTTTTTGAAATGCAGTCAGACAGTCAAGTGAAATTATAATGAAATGCGACATGATCATAAGAGGGCCCATCCTGATCTTAATTGAACACAACTATTCAGTTTTGATCATTTATTTCCGACAAGTGTTTGAGTAAACTAACGTCCTAATCCACCTCCCGCTAGATCACGTATAAAGGACTGAACAGTTTGATTGAATAAAGACTCAGTTTCACCCTCTACGCCCGCCTCGTGAGGAGAGAAGATCCGAGCGTCTCCACAGGGCGATGTGCTGATGTAAAGATGAAACTGGACGTTGTCTTTCAGCCGGAAGCCACGTTTGTCACACTGCATGAATATGGACTTTTGGTGATCCTCTTTATTGTTGCTAAATTCAGAGAGAAACAATAGAAAAATCAAAATTTTCTCCAGAGTTTTTTGTCATGTACAAAGACATACCATGCATACTTGTATGACCATATTGCAATTATTTTGACATATTGTGACTGCAATTTGAACTTCAAGATTCTAAACATTTAAAGGTGTGGTGAGTATATATATATATATATATTAATATACATTATATGTATATCTCACATACACTTTTTGGAACTCAGTCCACTTGAATTACATATAAAAAGTAATATAAAAAAAAATATATATGCATATATATCCATACTAACATTTCATTATTATTAATATATTGTTGTATTTTAAATATATATGTTTACATTATATATTTATATTTAACATTATATGGCATTTGGTGTTTAATAAATTGCAAAAGTCCATGTCATGATGAATCACTATTCATTTTGCATCTCTATCTAAAACTGTATACAATAACAAAATGTTCAATTAAAACCTGTTTATGAGTTTAATTTCCCTTTCTGCTAGACTAAACATCATCCATCATGCTATGATGACAAATGAGACGTACAGAGACACGCAAGAGAGTAAAGGCGGGGTCTCACCTTAAGAAGTGGTCCAGCTGCATGTACAGATACCTGATCAGGGAGCGACGAGCAATGATTTCAGCGTGACAGTCGTTGAGCGCCAGGCCACGGTCGCTCATATACTCGCCATTTATACACTTGGTTCCCGTGGAGACGCAGATGACCTGAGCGTCCTTGACATCAGTGCCTGTGTTCAAAACAGGTGGAAACATGCCAGGACTGACAACTGAACCAACAGAAATCACACAACACTCGCTCACTCACACGTGAAAACTATTTTACTTAAGTCTAGGAATATCTTTAATGATAGTATTAGTAAAAGTGGACCATTTCAAGTACACGGAACACCATTATAGCAGTCAGTAAGAAATTCATTAGGCTAATTCATAAAGATTACTATTGAGTTTGAGTCTTTTTGATGGATTACTTGTAAAGAACTGTCTTAGAGCCATTTGGAGGCAAAATGCAGATTTTTTAATTTATTATTTAAAATGGGACCATTTCTGAATAAGAACTTGTTCTCAGTTCCAATTCCTATGCAGAACTCTACCTGTTGTCATGACAACACCCGCCAGAACTTTCCGCCGTGCGTGTGGAGAGGTGAAGTTGTCAGTGAGCTCGCTGAATTTGTCCACTACCAGACGAGAAACGGCATCTGCAAGAACCTGGTAAAGAGCATACAGGTGTCAGACTTCAATGCTAACATCAGTAATACATGAACACACATCCGCTACAGGCAGACATGCAATACTGAAAACATGGCTGCACTTTATTTTACAGTATGTGCACTTACATGTACTTACCTAAGAAAGTACTGGGTAATATAAGGTGGGTTAAGGTTAAGTTTAGGGGTAGGTTCAGGATTAGTGCCTTGTTATCACCCAGTTACTATAATAAGTACATAGTATGTACATGGGGAACGGGACTGTAAAATAAAGTGCTACCGAAAACAGTACAGACTTCATGACTAAATTTAACATTGTCATAAAAACATTTAAGTCATCCTCCCCCTTTTTATCCTCTCCCCTTCGACATGTAATACACACTTCTCATGATCCAATCAATTCCTGATGGACAAAATCAAGAATTTATTTTCCTTGTTGAATATGATTTTCTACTCAGAAATATTTAAAGGACAACTCCGGCGCAAAATGAACCTTTGGTCTAATAACACATTGGTACCTAGGCGTCCGTTCTCTGGGATTTGTTTTCATGATAATCGAATGTAAAGAGTTTTATCTCTAAAAACTGTTTAGCTTATAAGGCTAGTATATAGGGCATAGAGTAAGTAAAAAGAAATCGCTAGTTAATACCACTAACAAGGCTCAAAATAGCCCCACACTAACACGGTAGCATAATGAGGGTCCCTACGTGCAAACCGAAGCATTGAGAACTTTTTAAGTGAACAGACAGTTTAATAAGAAGATACTTTATAAAGATAATACACTTGCGTATACAGGCAGGAGCCATCTTGGAAAACAGCCTCGACCAGTCGAACCACGAACGCCGTGCTAAGTGAGCTGGTCGATCGGAATTACGTTTGTGAAATCTAATTACATGGAAATGCATGAATTATATCTGTTTATTCAAATATATGGGTGACTAACTACAAGGGAAAAAGGGGTCCCATACTTTCATATGAGATTCCAAGTCACAGTTCAGCTCATTTAGCACGGCGTTCGTGGTTCGACTGGTCGAGGCTGTTTTCCAAGATGGCTCCTGCCTGTATACGCAAGTGTATTATCTTTATAAAGTATCTTCTTATTAAACTGTCTGTTCACTTAAAAAGTTCTCAATGCTTCGGTTTGCATGTAGGGACCCTCATTATGCTACCGTGTTAGTGTGGGGCTATTTTGAGCCTTGTTAGTGGTATTAACTAGCGATTTCTTTTTACTTATTCTATGCCCTATATACTAGCGTTATAAGCTAAACAGTTTTTGAGATATAACCCTTTACATTCGATTATCATGAAAACAAATCCCAGAGAACGGTCGACTCGGTACCATTGTGTTATTAGACCAAAGGTTCATTTTGCGCCGGAGTTGTCCTTTAAGATGAAAAGTACAGTTTCAACACAAAATAGTCTATACAATTATACTGATTTGTAATGGAACGAACCTAAATTAAATCCCATTCAATTGACCCTTCGCTCTATGGATAACTGTAAAGCTGAATTTACCGTAGACCTCAGATTCACCTTCTGCTGCTGCAATATAATATCAATATTTCATCGAAACCCTTCAGGCACCTCGGTGATTCCTTTCCACTAACAGTGCCCTCCACTTCACATTCCTTAATATGCTGGAAAATGATTATGCCAAGGAAAAATCAATGGCCGAATGGGCACGAATTAGAGACATTAGTCTAACACTGCTTCCCAAATACTTGGGAGTCACTCAGTCGGAGACGGCTAATGGGAGTTTTAAAGCGGAGCATCCCAATACATTATCAGGAGACAGAGAAATCTCCCACCGAACAGAAGGCTGCGTTTTATTCTTATGATAAAACACACTAGTTTCCACCATCATCTTTATTTGCTTTCATTTCCCATTAGCGCCTGGGGACAGATGACAGGAAATTCACTGGCCAACTAGACGCTGACAGATTTCACAGGAGAGCAGTCTAGGAAACTAAGAAAGTGGAAAAAAGGAGGCTAACGCAGAGATACAACACATTTTAACAACAAATAACATTCTTGAGAATGTTTTCAATAGAAATGCTAAATTAATAGTGATTAATCATGACGACGTGGCCTTTTGCAATTTATTAAACTACCAAATGCTACATAAATGTAAAATACTTAATATATAAAATAAAAAATAAATCTAAATATATTTAAAATTATATATATATATATATATATATATATATATATATATATATATTAGAGCTGTTTTAGAGATTTAACATGTTAAATTGCTGTGATTAATTATGGAAAAAATAATGCGCTCAAATTATTAACGCACATCGCCTTGGCCCAGACCGGTACGTCATCTTACATTACATGCGCTTTAGTTATGAACATGATGCAGGGCAACGACTGACTGTGTGATGAAGCCTATTAGAATGCATTTAAAATGCAAGATATATGAGGGCAAAAAAGCCTTATAATTTAGCAATATCACGAGCAAAAGTGCTGTTTTTCCAAATATAACAGATTTAAAGTGTGTTACACTTTAGACACAACATTTTAATTTATTAATATAATAAAAGAATAAAAGTATTTTGATGCAAATAACTGTCCAAGTAATTTTATATAATTTTTTATAAAGTCCAATAATTAACCATAATATTATATAATACAATTATTACATAGGAAATTGTATACATAATTTATGATTTTAAGGGCTAATTAGTTAAAGAAATTTTATAAGTAATGGTATCACAAATGATATCACAATATAAATGTCCATTTATGATAGAATATCGACAAAAAAGAGTATTTTTTTTAAGCTAAATCATACAACCCATTCAAATGTGTTAACAGAGCCAATCTTCGTTTCCTAATTAAGACGCCCATAATGGCCTATAGTAATCAACCTTCAATCCTTGATGTAAGGTCGGTACGTATCGCCATACGAGTGAAGGAAAAACTAAAACGATCAGTTGTCCCGTGACGAGAGTCTATTTAACCTCTTGCCATCTGGTTGAAACAAATACACCTATCCGGCCTCTGGTCTCATATTGACAGCATGTTAAATTTGTGGGTATCGGATTAGGAATGGATAATGAGGTCTTGCATTCATGGTGCTGTATGTGTCACAGAGACAGACGGCCCAAGAGCAATCAGCATCAGAGACAAAACATGCGGCTGACAGGACTGCTCTTTAGTGGACAGGTAGTGGGCAGGCTGAAACAAAATGTTCTTGTTTTGACACGGTTCAGAGGAAGATGTTAATTAAGATTGGGTCGCTTCCAGGCCTGGCCTTATCTCAAAAGCAGGATTAACAGAGGATTTTAGAAATGTGTAAATAGACGTCTTCTCACACAAACGCCAATCGTTGGTCATTTCGGCTCACTGTGTTGCTTCACTGGTAGGGGTGAGCAATATATTGAATATGCATGACATATTCACAATACTCTGCTAGAGACACGGCATTAAGAAACATTGCGAATACCATAATGCTTTTTATTTGACCATTAAAATTACCTAAAGGTCCAAAGTTACAATGTCATTAGGAGCTGGAAATTAGATTTTAAATGAATCCGTTCAGTTCAGGCCAATTAAGTACATCATTTTAGATTTTGTTTGTTTGAAAAACTCAAAAATGCTCAGTCTCAACATGGCAATTTAAATATATATTAAAATGTGTGTAGATAAATTACTGTGTTATGTAGGTACATAAAATGACAAAACAAAATTAACTAAATTAATATATAAAAACCCTTTGATGTCATATATATATATATATATATATATATATACATACATATATTTATTTATATAAGGGTTAAAAGAAAAGTTATTTTAGCTACATAATACAATCCATCCCAGTGTTTTAACAGAGCCCATCTTCATTTCCATTAGGCTTTGTTCCTAATGAAGATGGCCATAATGGGCCTGCTTTGTGCATCCCGGCATAAAGGCTTAGACGATGATCTCCGATAAACTTAAATGGATCAGAAACTTAAATGAAACATTTTGAGATGTGAAAGACCAGTGTCTTTTATTTATCAGATTTTTACACATCAGATAAAATCAAGACTTTATCAGACTGATGTGTGTGTTAAAGGAAGCCACAGTACAAGAAAAGGTTTAAATGAGATTCAACATTAAAGTAGTTTCTGCGGAGTGCTTGTGAAAATATTCTATAAGTTTTATTAAACTATAACTAATGCAATTTTCTTGTACGATATTTCTTTACCAGTTTAGGCCTGCCTATCTCTAGGGTATAAACAAACCATGACTATACTGCTGCATAGTGAGCTATATAAATAATTAAAGTATTTTTCAAAAAGATTGTGAATAAACAAAAGGGTTAAAGGCCGTTTATGACACATGGGAATAGATGTGCCTATGTCGTGCTGTCTAGCTGTTTTTAATGTTAGAATCCAACCCTCATGTATGTGCCTGTTGCATTGCGTTTCAATGTCGTTCATAGTTCAACATCTAGCGTGTGAATGACCCCTTAAGATACGTCAATCATTGTGTAGCCTATAGCCTTCAGGGCAAAAAAGAAAGACTACGTTGAGTCTGAGGTGCGGATCTCTCACCTGTGGCAGGTGCAGCTGTAGGCCCTCTCTGGGGATGGGCTGGCGAGATGGGGTCTGGTCCAGTTGCATGTTGAAGAGCGCAGACAGAGCCGCCTGGGCCGCCCGGGCTTTAGCGAGTTTCTTATTTCGGCCCGAGCCCTCAAACGTCTGCGAGTCCACAGTCACGGACATCACAAAGTTCTTAGCATGGCTCTCCCCGCTCTCCGACACAAACTCGTATTTGAGGCCTGGCCGCAGCTCGTTGAGAATCATGACGGGGTTCTTGCCGCTGGCCGAGGAGGCGAAGGAGGAGGGCGGTGGCAGGGGCGCCTGAACTAGGCTGTTCGTACCTGGCGCCTGGGGCACGGGATACTCTCCCAGCGGGTTTAAGGAGCCGTTGCCGTTGGAGCCCAGAAAAAATGATTCCTCGGGCGGTGCCGGCGTCTCAAACCCGTTGAAGAGCATGTCAGGGAAGTCAGCCTGGTCGGAGGTGAAATCCGTGTTGACGGTGAGCGTACGGCCCATGGCCAGGTGCGCTTCAGACGCGTTAGGGAACTGAACAAAGGAACGCAGGGCCTTCTCGGCGGCATTCAGCTTGGCCTTTTTCTTTGTGGGCCCCGAGCCCTCGAACAACTGCCCGTTAACCTCGACGGTCATGACGAAAACCGGCGCATGGACCGGGCCGGTCTGCGAGAGAAGCTTGTACTGCAAGCCTGGTTTGATCTCGTTCAGCTGCATCAGGGCGTTCTTGGGCAGAACCGGCCCTGGCGTTTTCTTACGTTTCTTGGGTCTGAATTTCGAGTGCGCATGGCCATTGTTGCCCTCCTCCAGGGGGCGCTTGCGACCCCCTCCTCCACTACCGTTGGGGAGCTGCTCCACCAGGCCAGCTCCCTCCTTAGAAGAGACGTTGTCCAGGTTGCGGTTTTCCTTTACGTCGGTGCTGCATGAACCTGCGGTGCCCAGAAAGAGTAACTTACAACGCCTTCGTTGCAGGATCTTGTAAATGTAAAATTTATAGATTCCTTTATCTTTCTTTGTAACCGAACAAGTGATGTGTGTTCCTTTTTTGTGTGCCGAGGTATGCTAGCATGATACATTTTTAAACTGATCTTGTGAAACTTTTTTATGAGAGGAATTTCGGAGAAGACACTGAAAAAAGACCTCCCGATTAATTAACATAATTAAGGAAGACCATGAGGTATGAAATCTAAATGATCATAATCATCAGTTTAATTTAAAGTACAGTTTGAGCATTCAGTTTTGCAGGCAATGGCTCGTACCGGGTCAATCAATCATCTCACTGGAGATAAATGATGTGCTAATGCAGAACAGAAACCAAAGCTTTAAAAGCCTAATAACTAATTAAATGAGGCTCTGTTTGAGTGACAAATGCAATTTTTCAGGTCCCTCCATATAAATAGTGGCTATAAAACACCAACAAATATGGGTTCACAATGGGTTCAGTTTTTAGAGTGGTGTTCTGTGAATTTCACAAAACTTTTTGAGAACATAGTCTTATCTAACAAAACTGGTCAAGCATATTTCAACCCAAAATCAAAAGAAAAAACAAATAACTGTCCAAAAATGGTCACAATAAGGATCTCAATCGATTAAAAGATTTAAATCGTGGTCAATCTTTAATGAGTTCCTTTAAAATACAAATAAAATACTGAATATATAACATTTTTAAATATGCATAAGCAATTATTAGGTGTTGTGTGGATGACATACTATTTATGCAATAGTGCTTTTGACTATTTAATTAAATAAATGCTGTAATTAAAAAAGGCAGCATTTTTAATAGCATGAGCAAAGACATTTAAAAATAATAAAATCAAAAATGGCCTTAAAATTACGCTTGATTTCCTGATTGCAAAATTTTATTTTATTCTATTTAGATTTTGGGGTGAAATAGGATCTGGGCATGTTTTCATGAGATATTTACAGGTCACAATTTTTTTTTTCCCTTAATAAAAAGGGTCTTGCAGAGGAAACACACATCATCATGTCCTGTTGACAAAGCTGATGGAACTTTGGCTAAATTTTCATTTATAACATCCTTCAGCAAAAGCTCGCTAGGTTACTGCTTTCAGTGCTCTGGTAGAGAGAATAGCGTCCGTGAACAGTAGGGGAACAGAGTAAGAGCTCTCTGCAAACAGTAGGAGCAACAGGGTGGATAAGGGAGTGGGTGCAAGGCAGATGGACAAATAAAATGAAGATATCTGAGAAGAGAGAAAGTCTCGTCAGGGAAAACGCGAGGGGGGAGGGGGGGGAGCAAGAAAGAGAACGTGGAGGAGAAAGAAAGAAAAGAAAGAAAAAAAGAAGAGAAAGAAAGAAAAGAAAGAAAGAGACAGAGAGAGAAATATACAAAATACTGGAGCAGAATCTGGAAATCAAAACCCTTCTTATGCGTGTCAAATTTTAATACACATATCCACATCACACGCACACACCCACACACACGATTGACTCTGGCTTTAATGATGGAAATCACTCTTGCTAAAACAACGGCCCTGTTCCAAAACCTAGTTAGATGCCTATATAGGTATGCTTTTAAAGGATCTTAGGCAGGACACTCCAAATGTACTTTTATAATCAATTTACTAACAAAAAATATCTGCAAAACATTCAAACTAATGTACTATTTTGCTTCTTTTTTTTTTTAGTAAACATTTTCAGTCGAATCTGTGCTAGCCAAAAACTTGTTTCAAACTTTTGAGGTTAAATTTCCGTTAAGATGTGGCCTTAGAAGACGACACCAAAGCAGGTCGCTAGCTTTCAGAACAGAGTCAATGTTACACTAACAAAGAATGCCCAAAAATGCAATGCAACTTCAACTTAAACAGCTTTAAGCTTAATAGAGATATTAAAGCTGTATCAGTTTATAGACCTGCCCACCTTCAGCTGAAAATTCAATCAGTTGCACAATGAAAAGCATAAAATCCTAAAAACTGTACTTACTGTAACCAGTAAAATGCATTGGCTCACTACAGAGTATTAAAGGAATGTAAAAGCGAACACCTGCAGTGGCACCGACAGCTTAAATAACATAGAAACAGGATCTTTCCTTTAGAGCCATGAACTTCAATCTACACAAAGGCCCATTAACAGCGAAGTGCACCAGCTCCCTTTGTGTGTATTAGCAATGCCAAAAAGGCCACCATGTTGATTCTCGCTTGGTGCACGCCACGGTGATGTAGTCGAATGCCCTTCTTGGTTAAAATCTTTAAAACTTAAAAATTCCTATGGAGAACAAGAATGGGAAAACACTAACCCTAACCCTGCTTAAAAAAAAAAGGGGGCCAAAACTCGTAGTTTCCTGCTCCTAACGTCTAAAGCTGATAGAGAAATATGCTGCACTGTCAGAGGTAGAAAGCTTTTGGATATCAAATATGCTTATCGGCAGAAAATCTAAATAAGAAAGTCCGCTTCGCAACAGATCCATAATAAATGACAGGTCCCTTCATTGTCAGTGGCTCTGAAGACAAGCTACAGAGTGACGGGACAATAGAGGGTTACATTTCCTCTGGGTTAACAACTCTTCCCAGAATCTTCTATTCACAGCACTTCTGAATAAAGAAGAACGGGACTCAGACACCGGAGGAACGCTGTGTATTTCTTCAGCCTCGAGTCCCGATCTTCTTTGATCACATTCAAGTGTAAAGCCCATGAAATAGGGAATGCTAAATTTGGAAAATATTCAATTATTTAGCACATCATCTAGCGATACTGATTTTTTATGCTACCTTATGTTAAACCACTGATCATTTATAAAAAAAAAGAAAAAAAAAAAAGAATTTAAAATGTTATTATCTATAACATGCTTTGCATTTTGCAGTGGCACAAAAATGAGGGCTGAAAAAAAGACACAAGGGAATAGTTCACCCAAAAAAAAAAAAAAAAATTCTGTCATCATTTACTCACTGTCATGACGTTTTATGATGTATTCTTCTGTGGAACACAAAAGAAAAAAAAATTAGGAAAAAAAAAAAAAAAGTCAGTCAGTACAATGAAAGGGTTCCATGTAGTTTGGACCCCAATGTTCTTCATTTGTTCTTTCATAAAATGTGAGTAAATGAAGATTCATGTTTGGGTGAAGCATCCCTTTAAACAAGATTTAGAAGCAACATCAAAAAGCAGCAGAAACTTTAAATCATTTTGTAATAGGACATGCTTGAAAGGTAGAAGGTGTAACACCCAATACACGATGCAAGCAAGCAACAGAACAAAATGAGAATGTTTTCCTGTAATGTGGATAAATCTTATATATGTCTGATATGTTTAAATTCATTTAAATATTTGTTCATCTAACATATTAAAGATCAACCACAATGTTATTTTGTTGACTAAAATTTTACACCATTTGAGTCAGATGAAAATGTACTGCAATAATGAAAAATGACTAAACATAGAAGACCTTTAAAATAAAATAAAAGATTTCATCTGAACGGACTGAAGTTTCAATGTAAAAATTGTGGCCATGTCTAAACACTACTTTAAACATCTCTGCTGGGATCGTTTAGCGAGATGGGCATATAGAGGGAACTGTTCACTAAATGACACATTAGTTAAGGGGAGTGTGTGTAGGGCTCAGTGCTGGGGTTCAGTTATGAGCACTTACTCATGTTCTCCTCCTCATCAACATCCATGGTGGTGAAACGCCTCGACTGGCCCTGCGCTTGCTGAGCCACAGCCACACCTGACAGAAAGACCGAGGAAGAGATCATCATTAGTGCTGTCTGTTAAATACATAATCACAGGTACTTCTGCTCCATCTTGTGACTTGGACAAACCCCCAATAATAGCATTCACCGTGATAAGCAAAGAGCTACAGACATGAATGACACATTGAATTATGCTCAACAAGTGATTGAATTCATAATTTTCATCTGGTGGATGGAAAATAGTCCATAGACGTACATGCATACACACACATTTATACTTTGGGGATGGTACGATTTTGAAATGCTTTTGAAAGTCTCTTATTCTCACAAAGGCTGCAGTTATTTGATACAAAATACAGTACTTTTTTTTTTTTTTGTCCTGTGATGCAAAGCAGAAGTTTCAGCATCATTACTCCAGTCTTCAGTGTCACATGACCCTTCAGAAATCATTCTAATATGCTGATTTGCTGCTCAATTATTAATATTTAATAAAACCATGCATTTTGAATTTATGATGTCTTACTGCTCATCTATATTATTAGAAGTTATTACTATAAAGCTCCCACAAGCACATTCTATGACTTTTCCAGTGATTAAAATTCATATTAAGAGTAAGATTCAGATTCAAAATCAAATTCAGACTGAATCCCAAATGATTCAGAATTAAAGCAGAAGAAACATTCATGCTGATTTGTGAACCAGCTTGACTGATTCAAACTGATTTGAATTAAAAGAATCGACTCAAAAGAACAATTCGCTCGCACACTATGGCCTTGTTAGAAAGCTTGACTCCACACAGGAGCAATAGCTATAGAATTACAGAAAATGTACGAGACACTTTTTCAGGACTAGAAAACACCATTTTAAAATTCCCTGACACTACCAGGTTTTCTATAAGTGTGGAAGTTACAAATAAAAAATAAAACACACTTCTCTCCAATCATTAATCTCACTATAGTGCACTTGAAAATTGCACTTTACCAAAATAACTGGCGTTGCAAGTATCAAAGAGAAAGTATAGGCCGTCAAATAATGTCTCTAAATAATGGCATCATGCATCCCGTGTGGCTTTATTTAGATGACTGGAGTGGAGCAGTAAGAACAAGAGGGGGAAAAAAGAGGAGAAGAGAGGTGAGAAGAGGACAGAAAGAGGAAAGAGGAGAGTAGAGAATAGGATAGAAGAGGAATGAAACACCATTGACTGTGAGGTTAAGCCTACAGTAAGTGTATAAATATTCAGCAGGAGAAACTAATCTTTGAGAGAAAGGGCCGTGCTTGACAGGCCGTAATAGCAGGAGCAGTCTATTGTGACTTTAATATCCATTCGATTAGACCTCATCTTCAGCTGCCTCGGAGGAAAAATACAGTTATTGACATCAACGGGCTTTTAGACACAGATGCCGCCTGAGCTCAGGTGAAAAACACAACACAAACACTCTACATTTCATTAAAACATTCCTCATAATAGAGCCGAGATGCTGGGCTGTGTTGACTTGAGGCTATAGTGAGGAAGCCTTTATACGCCGATGTGACACAGAGACCATACCAAGAGCTTCTAGATTAACTGAAAGAAAAGATGCCGTCAAAGAAATAATGGCAGTATTCCTGCTTTCTCTTTCTTCAAATAGAATATTTTTAAAGGCATAGTTCACAGAAAAAAATTATTTCTGTCATTTACTCGCGTCTTTCCAAATCTGTATCTTGAAACACAAAAGGTAAAAATGCAGCTAAGACGCCTGAACAACAGTACAAAACTGCTGATCAAATTCATCACCCTCTATACGCTTTATGACAAATAAGGATGCCTGAAATAATGAAAAGGTCAGAGCCGATAGCCTTGTTGGCAGTACTCTGACATCTGACATGTAGTCCCGACTCAAGAACCTTCCAGATCCCGTCCCCCTCTCTCTCCCACTTTGCATGCTGTCAGTCCTCTACTATCCTATTATAATAAAGGTAAAAATAAAAAGATAAAAAAAACACAAAAATAAATCTAGTTAAGTTAAACGCACACGCCAAGTCCTTAGAATAGTATTCTTTGTATTCAATTTCATGTGTAAAATATTTTTTTAAAGGTACATTGTCATTTTTTTTCTTCAAAATGAACAATTCAGTCAATACATCATCAATCCTTCTTCCAAAACATGTTTTTGTCTTACCCTGATTCACTATAGTAAGCCTATTATAAGTGTTCATATTATAGACCTGGGGCCTCATGTATCAACACTGCGTACGCACAAAAACACGGCGTACGTCAGCTTTCACGTTCACGGCCAGATGTACTAACAGTGAAATTAACGTAAGAATGTGCGTTCCTCCAAGTAAACTTCATGTCTGGCGTACGTATATTTGTCGTGATTTTTGTCCGTTGGCGACTCAGAGGCAATAAAGTGAAGTGGCAAACATTACACTACGAATTGTTCTATCGCACCACCAGCTGTCAGATATTGCTTATAATTTGTAATTGATCAATTATTTGACATATTATTGTCACACGAGTTTTATTAAAATATTATATTATGCAAGTAAGAACATAGGCTATATAAAGCATGTCCAAATTGATACAACCCGTCTAGCAATGGCAGCGTTGGCTTAACTAGGAATAAATTTCATTAATTCGGTCAGTAAAGATAAAAAAAGAAAGTAATATTTTTATTCAGCAAGGACACATTGAATTTGTTTAAAAGTGAGAGTAAATGCATTTATAATGTTACAAAAGATTATAAGATTTCTATATCTGTTTGATTTAAGTTTTTATTCATTAAAGAATCCTGAAAATACTATATCACGGTTTCCACGAAAATATGAAGCAGAAGCACACCTGTTTTCAACACTGATAATACTCAAAAATGTTTCTTGATCATCAAACCATCATATTAGAATGATTTCTGAAGGATCATGTGACACTGAAGACTGGAGAAATTATGCTGAAAATTCAGCTTTGATCACAGGAATAAATTACACTTTACTATATATTCACATAGAAGACATTTTCAGTGAAATTTCGTTTCTTGCTTGCTTTAGCCATGTTCTTGCAGGTTTCTTTTGCCAAATTGGACTAATTACCATATTTAAATTAATTTAATTGGGGGAGGAGACTGGGTGGGGCGTTGTGCTCGTGCATGTGCGCTTGAATTTAAGTTAATTGGGATGTACAAAGAGAATATGCATGGGATCCTTCGTTTGCAGAGATTCATACATCTGCTTTTTTTTGTGCGTACGCACATTTACAGCTTTGTCCGTACGCAATGTTTTAGTATGAATTCAACGCAAGTCTTTGTACATGAGGCCCCTGATGGGATGGTTGAGAAAAATGGAGAAAACTTGCTTAGAAGCGTGAGGCACACTAAAACTCGAACCTTCGGGGAATCCCCCGTTTTTAAAAAAAACCCTGAAAAGAGGAGAGTTCGCTGGCAAAAAGAGAACGCGACAGTTCGTAATAAAACAAGAATCAACATATTACTCAACAGCCGAGTAAGGTGTTTTATTGAACATATGAATCTCTCTAACAGAGTTCATTGTAAAGCATTATCTACTGTGAAGGCCCATGACACTACAAAACGACTTCATGCTAATTATACCACTCTGACTTTAACTTGGCTGCCAATCTTATATTTTCAAACAAAAAAAATCTTCATAATTCATAACTACAATGTTTGGAATTTCATGATTCAGATTTTGTTTTCATTACGATCTTTGGACAGCTTTGCCATTTAGACATTTTGAGCCCATAAGAAATACTAATAAATGTAACTTTAATTTAAAATTTGAAATCATTGTCTGCAATAACTTGATATATCTGGACCATAAAAAACAGTATGATGTCATTGAGAAACCATTGAGCAACATTTCCATCTATCAATACTAAAGCACACACACAATACTATATGTGAGACAGCCCAATGAAAGCCATTGCAAAGCACATAAAGAAGCCAATCACAGCTCTCTGCTTCTGCGCTGGCCCATTCTTCATGGGCGACACTTTCTTAAGCTAAACTAAATGGCCTAATTAATCTGGTCTAATGGTGGGTGACATCAAATATGCTACCACAATTATTACCCTATTAAAGATTAATATTCCATAAGAAAATTGAAAAGAGTCAGGGGAGTGGTGTTGTCTGAGCGGAGCTGAAACTTCAGCAGGCGTCAAACGGCTCCTTGATTTTCATCTCTCTGCTCTTTTCTCCTCTTGCTGGTCTGCTAATGGTCTATGGTGTAATGAGCGGCTCCGAGACTTGAGCTCGTTTTGTGTCTGTCGCTTTTGATTTAGCTTCCTCTGCTGTTCTCATTTTGCTCATGAATCCATAAACAGCAAAGAGATCAGCTTCAATCTACAAGTGGTAGACACAAAACCACAGGCAGGGAGCGGTGACAGCGTTTCAGGAGGACGCTGAATGTGTCATTTGCATCTGTGGAGCACAGGAGACTGGAGGATGATCATTACACCAGGGCAAGAAGGTCATTGTCTTAGCTCCACTTCACATATACACTGGAAGCGATTGATGTCGGGACTGCTCACAGACCCCCAAAAAAATATAAGTTCGAAGCTAAACTTCTTTTGAAATAAAACAATAGAAATAACAAGAAAATTTTAAATACTATAATAAAATAAAATATAAAAATGACTGTCTATGTAGTTCATCATCATTTATCAGCTTCCATTTCTGTTAGGATGCTACTTGTGTTGGACCAGAGCCACAGAATCAAGAGTAACCACTAACAAGGTGTTGACACTGGGACTCAAGCCATGTCACATTTGACTGGTTTCTCTGGTCTCTGTGGGCAGCGAGAGGAGATTACAGGATTTCCTGTTTGCACAGCTGTGTCAGATCCCTCCATCTCGCAGTACACAGTCCAGCGACAGTTTAACTAGCAGATGGACACACATCAGTTCATTAATGTTACTAGTTAAACACACAAACAGAGACCGACATCTGCTCTTTCAGAGGATCCCAAAGCCAGCTTGGAGGTTAAAACTCCCAGCATGCATTTCTCAGAGTGCATCATATCAGTGCACCGTGAGAGCAGACTCTCC